GACTCGTCCCACCCGTGTTCCTGCGTTCTACCCTCGGTACTGTTGATGTGGGGGAGTTTATTGTAGAGCTAGCACTCATCACTCAAATATCTTTATAATCTAGTGCTAACCGCAGCGTTGAGAGGCTATCAGAAATAAGTGCAATTCTTTCTAGTAGGCCGTCGTGGAGCGGCAGTTTGTGCATACGGCGGGCACTCGACTTTGTCGGTGCTAGTGCTGCGAGTTGTTAGAATTGAGTTAACCATGGACTGTCACTGGCCAGATCTAAACATCCCAACTGAATAAGCGTTGGCATCAGAGGGTAGCCGTAAGGGAGAAAAGGAGACAATAATCTCCAGAAGACGAGGGGTTAACGCCGACGGGGTTCTTCGGGGATACCGTGGGTACAATCAAGGGCAGTTATTCGTCAAAGGCTCAAATACCACCGGTCAGGCGAAAACACAGAACGATACAAAACTGTTTCCTTTTCAACCGCTCGGGATTGCCACACTATATTCTTCTATGTTGTGCCATACTCTTGGTTGACTTATGGCTGCTGGGAAGCAGCCATGGGTCTCCGTGAGCGCGATTGCGGGCAGGGTGAGTTGATGGCGGGCAAGGGGAGAAGGTTGCATATGGAGGAACTAGGGGTATGGTATAATATGTAGGGCCCGTATTGTCTCCTTTAGTCGATACGCTTGACATTCGATTATATTTTGGCTCCACTCACATTTGTCTTTTGCAGATTCCAACAGAATTAGCTCAGCATAAAATCCTCAGAACCGTTTCGTCCATGTCCCTTAATTCGACCGGCATTTGTGGTCCTTCCCTCCGCACAGCCACAAGCCCCGAGTGTCCTAGGGATTCCGCAAGCATCCCTAGGGACCAGATGTACCGAGTACACGGGTCCAGGGTCGGGTCGCTTCCGCCGTCGCCCTCCCACCATTTATTTACCTAGAATTCCCTATGCAAAGCGATCTGGGAGCCCTTTTCTCGCAAATAATCTCCGCCAGTGGAATTGCAGCTTCTCCCTAGCTGGCAAGATGTAAAGAACCTTAACCTAAGAGGGAAGGAAGGATTGGTGCATTGGCCAAGATGTGTCCGGGATGTTTGTGTTATCCTGATATACGGTGCTCTATTTGGGCGGTGAAAATTCAGCCTGGCAGTTTGGTGCGTAGCTGGCAGCGAGGGAGTTGGCCCATTTTTTATTATTAGTTGCCACCACCCCTACTTCACTTGTATGCCACGAATGGTCCGAACGGAAATACATGGACTAGGAACATGTTTACTTGTCGGGTTTTGCCAACAGTACAGTATTGGGGACTGTGCCATGCGATAGGCTTAGAATATTTGCAATGGTTCGGATCCGGGGTAGACAGGACATCCCCATCAGGTGTGTTTGTGCCAGGGGAACTGGAGATGTGGGAAATGCGGAAGACGCCCGGATTTAGTGACAGGATTTGGTGGCTCGGTTGTGGGAGCCTCCGCAATGCCTTCCCAGGGGTTTAATGGACGGAGGGTTGAGCAAAAATGACCTCGCGACCCTCAGGATACCCGGATACCCGGATACCCCCCCCCCCAAAAAAAACCCCCGAACCATGAGAGACTAGTGGACGGGGTGAAGGTATGATACGATATTAAAAGCCGGTGGATTTATTGTTCTGCAGTGCCCTAACTATGATACGCGGGAGCCCGCCCGCCAACTTTCTAAGGGCCCACTCGGGAGATAGATAAACCGAAGGTTTGGAGTAGAGTGCGGTGGTGTCGACCCGTCCTGGAGGCCCGAAAATAGTGCTGGTGTCTTTCACAAAGGTATTATCGGGAGGTTTGTCTTTTCAGTAGGGACCTCAAAAGTCAGACACATAGCTCAGACCCCTATATAAGCAGGGTCTTACTGAGATTTAATGCATGTTATCATACCTTTAAGTTACCAGATATACTCTTATGCCAACCCTCGTTTCCAACGCATCTCTAGCTGCAACATACCCACCAGCATAGCTGCGGGCACGGTTGGGGACCGTGATGATAATCTCAAACCCAACACTCAGAGGTAACCCTCGTTCCCGGTGTTCCGACGGGTGCACTACTGCATTACGTGTAGTAGGTCTACCAAGACCACCAAGGAATTTCTTAAGGACAATTACACGATGCGTGGTGGTAGTATACGGTCGTATAGTGCAGCACAACGGCATGCCCTGCTTCCTTTCTCATTTTGTATATCCGGTCAAGACGAATGGCCTTTTTATACACATCTTGTTAGCGGGAACACTGCCCATCCGGCGAATAGTAGCACCAAGCCCCGCAACAATTGCTATCCAGTTTTTCTATCTCCCCAGTATACATATCCTAGGATTTGATTGAGCCGTAATTCCCTTTTCCCCTTGGCGCCACCGCCGGTATTTCTTGGCCTTGGCCCTTGTGGTTTGACATTCGGATTAGCCCCGGCAGACCCCCAAAAGCACCGCTGGAAACACCGCCGTACCCAAGGATACACCATCCGGCGGAGCTGGAAACCCTGATTTGCCATTATAAACAGGAGATGTGAGGGAAAGTGGGTAGATGGGGTGGCTTATACGAGACAGCGTAATTGAGCCCGCAAAATTATCGCTGTCTGGCAATAAATTGTATCTTGTTGGCTATCTTTCAACAGCTTGATAGTAACCTAGAGGGATCCACGGTATATTCCTGTAGCCCGGGCCCATGTACTCAGAAATTTCAATGTTTTCCGATCGCCATTTCTTTTCTTCGCCGAACTGACTGGCTACCTACCAACATGAGTGTCTGCTCCGATGGTGGCCGTCTATATTTTCTCAATGTTTCCACCTTCTTTAGCCAGCAACCAACCCGCCTCCCACCACACCCCACCTTCCACACGCAGGCTATGTGGAGGAGAGTTTCCTGCTTGATCGTGGTGTTGAGCTTGCTTTCCAGCTTGCTAGTCGTGAATATTAGGGGGACGCTGTGTTCAATGATACCGCGGTATATTGGTACATGCAGAGCAGACCCTTAATCCTTTTTCTTTCCCTTTGCTTGGCTCCATGGGAACTGAGGGATTCGCGAGTCATATGTGGGTTTGGTGCAACTAGGGGAATGAAATTCTCGTGGTTGGTGTTTAACCTGCTTGCCCTGCCGTCATGATATATCACTCTTAGCATTTGGTTTATTATCATAACGATTATTATGTGAGGTGGTTCCGTTGGAGCACGCGGCTATTTATATAGGGTGCTTGGTTAGTTTTATGTTGAGGATCGCCCCTCCCTATGGGTCATGGTAGCCCGCTAGGGTCTACACTTTCTTGGGTTCTCACTGGTGTAGTCTGAGATATCAATTATACTCTAGCTGGTTCAAATGACATTGGAAAGACACCCTATGGATCTGGGATATACCTGAGAACATATCACCTAAATAATGACAAGTTTAGATCCAGGATTGCCTCTCTCTCGGATTTATTAAGGCACCATCTCCCCCAAGCACCTTCACCGCACTCCCGCTTCACAATTGCGGGGGAGCATTAAATCTGCCCCACCAATAACCACCATTTAGGCTGCTTCCTGCATGGTTATGAGTGGGATAGTGGTGACTCGACGGATGTATCATATATGAAAATGGGACGGAGCGATCGTATCCAAACAGACCCTTGGTCCAATCTCCCGTCTGGTGTGTGGGACATAATCCTAGGGGGCTGGGTCGGTCCTGTCAAGGTAGGGATGCCCTGGTAATAAGAATATGTTTCTCTGCCGACGGCTTTTCTTGGTTGCCAACAGCCGCAATAGAGTCGGTTATTCTACCTGCGTTATCGGGAATTATAATTATTGGAACTTAGAAAAAACTGTGGAAGGTCTGCTCTTGCCCACCTCTTTCGGCCAGGAAATTGAGTGCCTTAGGGGCTCGCCCAAACCTTTACTAGGCACTGTACCAATGCCCACCGGAGAGTGTTTGCATACCTACTCACCTCAATTTTCTACTCGTCGCCACTAACGAACACCGTGTTTCCCTGCTGGTCTTGTAGGGGATCGCCAACCTAGAGCGTCAATTTCAACTCCTCCGGGGAGGCACCCTCTCCATCTCTAACAAACATCTCCCATCAATCTGGCAAGGATTGGCGACCTTGCAAATCCCTTCCCCGGA